CACCACCCAGAGACCTCGCAGCGCGAGATGGCGGGGAGGGAATTTGGGGAAATTAAACTCCACAATTTTAAAGTTTTAGGGTTTAAAAACACCCTGCCGTAGACTTAAGTTCTGTATTTTAAAGAATATGGTCTGGCTATGTTGTTAGTAATGTTAGTTAGCATTCTCTCTCTCTCTGGCTTCTTTCCCCTGCTCACTTTATGCCTCTGACAAGTCCACAAAAGCGTCATTCTTTAAAGTGGTACATAATTGTCTCATTTTTACCTGTGGCTCTATAAGGGTTTGCTTTGTTCTCTGTAGCCTCGCATATCTCTTCCTGCTGAATCCAACTGACTCTGTTTTTCTGCTGTGCCACCTCTTTCTTGCTAGTTGTGGGGAAGCTGGACAGTCTTGGGTCTTCTTCACATGACCTTGTCTCACTGTTAGGGCAGGTTCAGGAAGAACTGGGGTGGAGTGCTGACTACTCTGGCCCATTCTTTGGGGGTTATGGAGACGTGACACTTTATTTTTGCAAAAGGTGTTGGTTTGAAGACAGTGCCCTAGACTATATAGGACAGAAGTAATTCTTTGTCAAGTATCCAGAGGCTGGGACCTGATTCCACTTTTTAATCTCTCCAGCATTACCGAACACAAGGCTGCAGATGTGTCTCAGCCCAAGCAGGAACTGGAGTCTGGCCCAGGCCAGAGGCATCTTCTAACCATTACACAAGAAGCTGTTGAAGTGCCAGAGGAGGAGCAGGAGGAACAGCAAGAGGAGACCCTGGCAAGGCCAGGCAAGGCCCAATTCCGGTAATTTGGATGCAGAAAGTGTGGAATGAAATAATGTGCCAAGAGAAGCAGCTGCCTGTGATTTCCTCCATTAAATCATTTAGAGCAGTGTTTCTCAACCTCAGCATCTTTAAGACGTGTAGACTTCAACTTCCAGAATTCCCCAGACAGCCATGCTGGCTGGGGAATTCTGGGAGTTGGAAGTCCACCCATTTTAAAGTTCCGGAGGCTGAGAAAAACTGATTTAGAGTACCCTCATCACTGGAAAGATCCTTTTGTTTTTTTAAGTTGCAGTGTCTTCCTGCCCGATCACATGAAGGATAATGAAGTATTTTTTAAAATTTATATATCAAATTTGTCACTACCCATCTCATTAAAAAAATGACTCTGGGCAGTTTACAAAGCGGTTAAAATCAATTAAAATTACAATATAAAATAATCCTAAATAAATAGAAAATAAATACAATGGCAGAGCCAGGTCTTTAATCCTTTCCGGAAAGCTGGGAGGGTAGGGGCCTGCTGCACCTCTGGGGGAAGGCTATTCCAAAGGGCGGGGGCAACGGCAGAGAAGGCTCTCCTCCTGGGCCTCGCCAGCTGACATTCTCTCACTGATGGGGTCCGCAACATGCCCTCTCTGCCTGACCAGGTGGGACGGTTGATGTGATGGGGGTGAGGTGGTCCCTCAGGTAACCTGGACCCATGCCGTTGTCATGGTACGTGAGAAGGACCTTGGGAGACAAGAGGAAGAGCCACAGCCCAGACAACGGTCTGATAAAACAAAATCTGAGTCTGAAAGAGGGGAGGTGGAAAAAGCATTGCAGAAGGCACCCTCCCTAGTTTTCAGGAGAGTAAAAGTAAGGGAGGGGAGAGGTACTTTTAGACTTGCAAGATTCTGTTATTGTAACCTTACAATAAAGATAGAGCTAGTAGGCATGGTTGGTGCTTCTTGTCTGGACTACCTCGAAGGGCTGACGGTAATAGTGATGCACTTCTGATGTATTTGCATTTTTAAAATGGTGTCTTATTTCCAGGGCAGAATACTCTAAGAGCTGCTTGCTTATTGTGATACCGATGCAGTCGTGCTTTGGGCAAGTGGTTCTTGTTGGCAAATGAGGGGGGTGGGTTTTTTCAGCCCAGCTTTACCTATTGAATTGCTAAGTATCTTGACTATCCTTGTTTTGTCTCTCTCTCATGCTCAGGAACCTGTCAGCTCCCTTCTCAGATATGAAGGACCTCATGTTGAGGGACCTGGATGAGCTGTTCCTCGCTTCAGATTGCCGTCAATTCAATCGCACTGAATCGCTCCGGTAGGTCCTGTAAAGGGTGGTTGATACTGCTCAACTATTAGTTTAGAGTAGTGTTTCTCAACCTTGACAGCTTGAAGATATGTGGATTCCAACTCCCAGAATTCCCCAGCCAGCAAGGCTGGCTGGGGAATTCTGGGAATTGGAGTCCACACATCTTCAAGCTCTCAAGGTTGAGAAATACTGGTTTTGAGGCTTTCAGAGCGATAGATAATCCTCCACTGGCTTCCTCTCCCACCTCTAGGTTGGCAGATGAGCTCAGCGGCTGGGTCCGACGACACCAGATCAACCGGAGGAAACCCTTGCAAACTCGCAAAGCAGCTAAGGGCAGCCAGGTGGGACATGACACGTCTGGAGGGGAAGGAAAACGGGCCCCCAGGGGGGCCCCAGAGGCTGGACAAAGAATATCCGGTAGCTTGCAAAAGAAAAGTGGGGTATCTTACATTTTAAGAAACCCTGGTGTCTCTCACAGGCATCTCTCCCATCCTTACCTACAACCCATGTGTTTGGGATTTCAGGACAAGCCACAAAGGAAGCCTCCAAGCCCTTCCCGCTATGTTCCAGCCAGCCCCCCCAAATACCCTGAGAGGTAAGTGGTTCTTGTGGCAGATCCTCTTGCCTTTTCACTGGGGATTTCCTCTGGAGTCTCCATCCTAACGGGAAGATTGTGGTTTCTTCTACTCTTCCCTGACTACTTAGGGTTTTTCTCCTGTTGAAGGCAGAACCTGCAAAGTTTCTTACAATAGTACCCGGGTTGCTCCTTCCATTCATATGCATAAGCAGAAAATACTATTGCGGTGGTCTTTAGTGAGGGTGATTCTGTCTCCTCTTTTCCAATTATTTGAAGGAGGGTGTAATTGTTATTCCTGCTTAGTTGGACTATGCCACCAATAGCCTCCTGTGCCTTTCCTGGGCAACTGCCAGTATGACATGCAGGTAGTCCTCGCTTAAGGACCACAGTAAGGACCGGAAAATGTGTTGTTAAGCAGGGTGGTTGTTAAGTGAGTCATGCCCAATTTTATGACCTTTTTTGCACTGGTAATTAAGCGAATCGCAATGGCCATTAAGTGAATCATGTGGTTCCCCATTGATTTTGCTTGCCAGAGGCTGGCTGGGAAGGCCACAAATGGCAATTGTGTGACCCTGGGGGTGCTGCGATGGTTGTAAGTGCATGGACCAGTTGTAAGCCCCTTTGTTCAGGACTGTTATAAATTTAACGGTTGTTAAACAAATGGTTGTTAAGTGAGGGCTACCTGTAGTTGCCCATTGCTCTCTTCTCTAAGCTGTGTATCATTGACCCCCCTTTTCTCTCCCCATCTCCATTTCAGACCCCATTCCAATATCCTATGGCTTTGGTGAAGTGCTTGTGTCAGGGTAGAAAAACACTTCTCTATATCTTGGTTCTTCCCCCACCCCCAGGGATTCTCTGAGTCAGTTACAGGTGTACCAGCATCCTGACCATACAGAGCACGACTTCATGGATGCCATTGACCGCCGAGAGGATACTTTTTACGTTGTGTCCTTCCGCAGGGTGAGTGAAGAGCCGTCCGCAGTGCTGTTGAACCACAAAGAAACATTTGCAGACAGTAGGGCAGTTTGTGGAGTTTGTGAGTTGGTTTTGTGAAGACCAACCCAGTGTGTTCAGAATGTGGTGGTCCAACTTTTGCTTCTCCCTGAAACCCTTGCAAGGGAAGATTAAGGTAGCAATGGAGGAAGCCCTCACCTACCAAATAGGTAGGTTAGAACTCTATCTTGTGCTGAAAACTGGAGGTGATAGGAAACATGTGGAGGGGGAGAAGCAAACAGAAGGTCTTCCTTTTGAAGTGTGAGAAGATGCCAGTGTCTCTGTCTCTAGATTAAGGAGTAACTCATGGTCCTTTACAAGGCCAAGAACTTAGATGAAGGAAAGTGAGGCAAGCCTGTTAGTAAAGCTGGGGTCTCAGCTGAGAAATGGTGATTCCTTTTAAGAAAAAAAATCTCATCTGTTTGGTGGTGAAGGATCTGGATTACATATTGTTTAAGTCAGTCTCGCCCTTTCTTGCTGGAAATTGCAGGAGTTGCGGTTCCCGTCTCTAGGAGATACCACAATTGTCTCCTCATGCCAAGGAGCTTCCATTTCACAAGCTCTCTGGGGCCAGGATGCCAGTGGTGCTGGGTCAGTGATAAAACTAGGTCTTGCGTGTCTCCTTTTCTCTTAGGATCACTTGCTGCTGCCTGCCATCAGCCACAACAAGACCTCCCGCCCTAAAATGTCCCTGGTGATGCCCGCCATGGCTCTGAATGGTAAGTAAAAGAAGCCAAAAGCCTTGGGAGAGCTGGGCTGCAGCTGCCCTCCCCCAAAGGCGGCTGCGTTTCAGGATCTCTTTCTCTTCTCCAGAGAGCCTCTACGGCTCCTCCCTGGGCTACGAAGTCATGATGCAGGTCGACTGTGAGGTCATGGACACCCGCGTCATCCACATCAAGAGCTCCACGGTGCCCCCCTTCCTGAGACGCCAAGGCACCACTTCTGACAACCGCACCCAGCCGTCCCCGCCTGCCTTTTCTGGAAGGACCCCCCGTACAACTTTGCGCTCCCATCGCCCCACTTTGCCCTCAGCCCGGCGGCATTCCCATCGCACTCTCTACCTCGGGGAACACGGAGGGGGCTAGGTGAAGGAGTTCTGGAAAGGACATTCTTCCAACTAGGGACTTGCATGCCCCGCTCCTTGGTGCACCCCTGCCCGAGTGACGGATGGATGCGCCACTGCTGGTGGCCAGCCCCTGTTCTAGGGGCTGGTTGGGCAGATCTCTTCGGGGGCCTTTTCTCTCTCCCCCGCCCCCCAAGCCTCTTTCTCAAGAGGTTCCTTGGCCCAGGCCGCTGCTGCTTCCGAGAAGGCTCAAAAGAATTTGTCCCGCAAGGAGGGGGCTCTGGGTGCCGCTGCTGGCTTCCTGCCAGCCCAAGGGATGCCTGGGCCCGAGCATCGCCCCAAAGAAACCTCTTGCTGATCGGTGCTGCCTCCTGGGGGGGGCGAGAAAGAGTCGGGTGAATTAAGGGACGGACACGAGAGGTGTCTTCAACTGCTGTCTGCGAGCTAGAGTGTGTGAGGGTGGAAGAAGGATGAGTGTTCTCTTTTTTTACAAAGGGAGAGAGCGAACGATGAGAGTGAGTTAGTGAGCGTGTTGAAGTGTGTATGTTGTCCTCTTCAAATTGCTCTGGTGGCACTTAGGCCTGCTCTTCTGGGTCTTTTTTGTGTTTGTATTTTCCCTAATTGTGTTTTTTTTAAATAAATAATAGCTACAAATAAACCTCACGCTTAGCTGATCTTTTTTTGTTCTGATGTCCAGCCAGAAGGCAGACTAATCCAGCAGCAAAACGGCACCAAGCAAAGCCCCACATTTTGTGGGGTTCTTTTCCTGTGAATTGACACTGCAACATTACATGCGCAATAAATATCTGTTAGAGCAGGCAATAGTGATTCTCGCTTAAGACCCAGCCCCGTTTTCAAAACCTCCTCTCAGGAAGACTTGCACGCTTTTACATCGGCCTGACTCCTGTGCTTTAGCACAGTTCAAATCTCAATATTCAGAAAGGATTTTTCTTATGGAAATTAGGAGCTAGCGTATCATCCTCTTAACTGCACCCGTCGTGGAGAATATGTGGGCTTTGGGATTTCACTGGTGAAACAAGTTAGACAGCGGTAGAAGGAAAACTGAAGCCAACAGTCTGAAACTGAACAGACAAAAATGTTGACAGGTTTTAGTCAAAAATTTTTGTCAAGGGCATTGAAATGGAAATGGGCAAGGGGGAAAATATATCTTGTCTACTAATGAAACTAATCTTAGTGCCTACGTATGTGCGCACACACATTTCATGATACACAAACTACCAGCTTAAGTCATTTTATTTAACAATAGAAAAATGGGAAATTAAGTATGTTAACTAATGTAGAGAATCCAAATATTCCAGGCGGTAACATGTTAAAATACAGAAAGAGGTGATGTAGGAATAACTAGGCTTGTAGTCGCAGCGTTTTTTTTGCAGTCAGGAAAAACATGCAATAACCATTTCTATCGTGGGAGATTTCTTTCGCGGTTCTTAGGAATTTCCCGACGATTATTACACGTGTTGGAAATCGGAGTGGAAGTCCGGCACTCCGTTGCAAGCCGTCACAGGGTTAATCCCGCCGTCCGTCATCTGCTTTAACGCTAGGCTACCGAGGTCAAATACTGCCGCCGATGCGGGGGGGGGGGGGAACTACAGCTCCCAGAATCCCGCGTGTGTGTCTGCGGGGAGGGGGATTATGCAGGGCAGGCAAAAGACCGGGAGGAGGACTACATGTCCCGTCAGCCAGATGGCTCCGGAGTCCTGCCGGGCCGGGGATCTGGCGGCTGAGGTTGCGCGAGCGGGCATGGAGGAGGCGCGGCCCCGCGCGGAGGCGGCGGCGGCGGCGGGGACGGAGGGATTGCGCGGAAGGGTCGGAGCCGCG